TCCTATGCTTGCCTCTGGTATCAGTGGCGGCGAAAGAGTGTAGGCGTTGGGTGAGGGATTGAGAGGTAGGCGATTGCATCTCTATAGAAAGGAATAGTAGAAAAGCAAGCAATCCCAAAAAGCCCTAAATCTTTGTTTGAGAAAAACAAAAAGAAACTATGCCTTATGAGCAAACAAAAGGAACAAAGTTTGAAAGTGTATCAGGTAAAAGACGATGCTAGAGAAGAAAGTAACGATGACCATGAAATCCTTTTGGACCCATCACCTAACTGTTCTTTTCTGTTAAAGATTTCTTTTTTTTTTTTCTTTTTCTGAAAAGATGATTTTAAAACAAAAAAAAAAAAAAACTTTTTTTTTTTTAAATTACAGAGACAGAGAGATCTGGCAATTCAACTGGAATTTTTGTTTGAATATAGACAGAAACAAAAGAAGGAAAAAATTATATTTGTTTTTGCAGTAAAAGGTGGTGATCTTTTATACCTGCTGCTCATTTGTTGAGTGTTGTTTTTCTGTCAGCTCTGTTGGTGGGCGGGTCAACGGTCAAACTCTATCCTTGCCACTGCCAATTAATAATATGTTATATGATTTTTAAATTTTGATAAAATATTTCAATAACTTCACAAATTCCATTTTTTCTGTTATTAGTAATTAATTCGTCATTCTTTACATCAAATATATTACTTTCTATTGAGGAAAAAAAAGTTGACTAAAGAATGTCCACTCAATTATAGTACCTAATCTAATATATATATATATATTAAAAAAAATCATAATTACAAAATTTAATTAAATTATGTGACAATTATTTTAGAAGAATAATTATTATAGCACATCCGAAGTTTTTATAAAAAAGACAGGAGAAAAAAGAGGGAACGTATATTTTACGTTATTAACTAATATATGCTTATTAAAAAAAAAAAAAAAGGGGAGCGAACGGTGGGTTAAGGTTAAGAAGTATTGTGAAAATTTAACAATAAATTTTAGTAATACGATAAATGCCATTTGTAAAAAGAGTTTATAATTTTACGAGTTTGATTCTAAAAAAAGAAATATTTAAGAGTTTGAATTTTAGAAATATATAATAGAGAATAATTTGGTTAGCTGTTTTAAAAATTTTATTTGAAATGAAAGTTTGAAAATATGTATGAACAATAAAAAGAATATAAATTTTTTGGATGATATTTGTTTAAGGAAATATGTCTTTAATACAAGATATTTTAAAATTGTTTACTTAGCAAGTCGTAAGTTAAGTCCTATTTTATTATTTAATATTCGCGAATAATATATCTAAGTTCAGATGATAGATAGTAAAAAAAATTTATTTGGATGGAATGAGGAGATATAAAATTTATATTATATATTTAGTTCGATAAATTTAAATAAAATGCAGATGATAGCTTGCTGTAATATTTAAAATTAAAATTTTTTCATCAAGTTATGGAAAGATAACGTGAAAAGCGTAGTAAATTTGCAGACATTACTATTTTTCAAAGGTAAAATTCGAAAATAAAAAATTTAACAAAATAAAAGTTCTTTTATGAAAAAATTGAAAGGGTAAAATTTTAGCATTAAAATATTTACACAAGTATAATGTTAGGCTTGATCTACTAAACAAGTATCAGGGAGGGAAAGATTCTGTTGATCATGTATATTTGTATTGTAACTGGAGTTGAGAGTATGTGGTACTTGTATTTGGAATGTTGAAGGTTAAAATGCATTTAGAGATGAAAAACAAGGCGAGGAAAGGTTGAAATCTTTTGTTTTATATAATTATTTAATTCATTTGGTTGAAAAGGAATGACAAGATTTCTAGATGAAAAATAATGGGAGTTTTGTAAAAGAGTTTCTCTTGCGAAAATTGGATGGACGTGTTGGGTAAAAACTCTATTCCCGTATGTGCATAGCTGCTTACAAAAACATATTTGTTCCAGTTGCTGAATTACTTTTTCACACAAAAAAGCAAAAAGATGAGGGAGATTGATCTTAGCGAAGATATTGTCTTTGATAAAATCGGGTTCAACCAATGTTGGTATAACTGATTATAATGAAGGGAAGCTGGCGAGGGAGTTTGTGGGTGGCATTGGGGTAGAACTTGGGTTGTGAGTAACGGTTTCTTTATGGGATCTGGGTGGGAGAGAAGCGTATATTTGGTAATTTTCAGTTTCTCATTTTGTAAGTAATCTTATTTGTTAGCTCTTTTTGTAGAGTGAGACAAAGTTTTTGAGTTTATAAATAATTTGTTCATGTTTAATGGTGATTAATGTTTGTAAAACACAAGTTTTGGGCACCAAAAGCTTTTATAAAGAAGTTTCGTTGGTAATGTGAGTTGGGATGCAGTAGAGAGTTTTTGCTTTATTTTTCCTCCTTGGTTTTTGTTTTTTTTCCTTTTATTTCCTAATACCTTCGTACATTCTTAGGTTATTATTGGGCTAACTTTACCAATAAATAATTTAAGCTTAGTTGAGCCAAAGCTCGTCGCATTCAAGTTTGTCCATACATGTTTTTCTATATATATATATATATTCAATTTATTATATTAAAAACTGCATCTTAATTTAATTAGAATAGAGATTTAAATTTAGTGAAATTTATTGCAAAGTTTATTATCTTCTATATTATCGAAATACAAGGTTAGAAAAAAAAAATCGCTCAAATTAAATACAAATTAAACGCAGAGTTAGAGTTTTATAGAGTTAAATAATTCTAAATATTTTAGTAGAATTTACTCTTCATCAGTTGTTTAAAATTACTAACTTTTGAGAGCTAATAATAATTATTATTGATATATTATATTCTTGTCAAACCACTACATTAATTTTGTTTATTATCTTCATATTGCCAAGAGCATATGCTTCTTTTTCTCTTTTAAACAAGACAAACGTTAATCTATGTTAGGTTTAAAATTTAACGGGCACTGTAATAAATTTCAAATACACAAGAATATAATAAATTTACTAGAATGTTCAATATTACCATGAAGTGCAGAGTTTAATGGACCTCCACGTGGATGCTGATATGTCACATTTTGATTGGCTGTGCCAATTGCTGACATGCCAGAGAAAGGTTGGGTGAAACGTGCAAAAAGAGAAAAGTATAGACCCTTCGCCAGTTGGCATGTGGAGAACCTGGAAATAATCACCACAGAAGCTGACACGTGTCAAAACACTCGCCGTTGAATTCGCATAATCATCCCCGTGAGATTAAAAAGCAGTTAAATTCGTTAATATTACTTCAATCACACGAAAATCAAAAGAAAAAGAAAAAGAAAAAGAAAAAGAAACAGAGTATATCACACTCCTTCCCGGCGCTAACTTCAACGAACCTGGAACTTCAAAAACAAAACTCCACCGCCCATTTTCTCTCCATTCACGAGACTCACACATTCACCTTCTCTCTCTAATCAAATCCGGGGGAAAATAAGAAGAATGGCGTCCAATCTCGGTGCTTCCTCACGCGCCATCGCACGCGTCTCCCGCTTCCCTCATTACCATTACGAACGCTCCTTCGCATTTACTGCACTGCCCCGACGACCGGGCAACCGGACAAGCAGACAAGGCCTGATGATCAGGGCTCTTGACCGTGGCGATTCTTATCTACATATGTGGAGGAAGGCTGTTGATCGCGAGAAGGAGGAGATCGAGTTCCAAAAGCTTGTTGATAACTTGGCCGACGTCGGTGCTGACGGCGATAATAAGGAGGGGAAGGGTGGAGAAGAATTAGAGAAGAAGAGTCAGGAGTTCGAGAAGATTCTGGAAGTTTCCAAGGAGGACAGGGACCGGATTCAGCGAATGCAGGTTATTGACCGAGCCGCCGCGGCGATATCAGCGGCTCGTGCCATTCTCGGTGAGAGTAAAGCTCCCAATAAAGACGAGGATTTAAGCGATTTAAACAGCGAGAATGGCTTAGCAACAGGGGGTCGTCAAGGAGGTCAGTTTCGAACTTGATTACCAATTCAATACTATTTGATTTACTTATCCGTTTCTATATTATGTGGCTTTCTTAATTTAGAAGACGATTGTATGATCATTTTTCAAAATAATGTAGCATAGAGCTGCAATATTTAATTAAAAAATTGATGATAGGGCGATAAGGGTTCTGTTGAAGCTAAGCTGGAAACTTTAATTATGAGAGTAGGATTAACTTGTCCCGTTTTGATCTTTGCGACCTGTATGGTTTAATGCTACTCAACTTCTGTCTTATTTGTTTGATTTATTCGGATCTTTATAGAATTGTATCATCATAGTTTCATTTTAATAACCTCCAATCATGTAATCATATCTTAATTTTTTCAGAAATTGATTTTTATTTCATACAAATACGGTAGGAAAGAAACTAATCCTAAAGAATTCTAGTTTAGCAAGGATTCAAACATTATGATGTATTCCATATGTTGATAATGTTTGAGAAACTAATATCAAACTAGTGGGATGAAAACTTGATAGGAATTTAATCAAAAAAATCCTTAAGAGTCCATAAATTGGATTCAGGATTCAAATATTCTCTTGAAAATTTTCTCTCTTAATGTTCCTTTTTCCATATTTTGCATATCACTGATTGGACATCTTATGAATTTGGTTGCCCGCATCCCATGCAAAACTGTGAATTGCCACTAAGCTTTTAAGCTTTACCAGGAACATGGTACAGGGATGTGTTTGTGCCTCAGTCAGAAGCTTCTCCAACTGGGGTACCGGGCCCAGATTTTTGGTCCTGGACACCTCCTCAACAGGGGGACAGAGATTCAGATGATGACAGTACCCTGCAGCCTGCTAAAAAATCTTCTGTTTATCCTACTTTAGCCAGTCACATAATGGAGAAAGAACGATCAGCAGATTCTCTCCCAATTCCATTCGAGAGTAAACTTTATGATATCAATCGCAGCGCCACTCTTCCCCCTTTTCAGTCATTGATAGAGGTTGAAAGAAAGGAAGTCTCTGAGCCCAATCTAGAGACCCCTTCCTTGAATAAGGAACACGACCTGAATGTCTTATTTGCAGAACATGCAGCTGAAGCAGCTCATGCTCTTGAAAAGCTGGATGAATCTTCCTATGGAGTGAATACAGATGGATCAAGGTGGTGGAAGCAAACAGGAGTAGAGAAAAGACATGATGGTGTGGTTTGCAGGTGGACAATGACCAGGTGTGTTAGTGCTGACCAAGCTGTAGAATGGCAAGAGAAATACTGGGAGGCCTCCGATGAGTTCGATTATAAGGAACTTGGTTCTGAGAAATCAGGACGTGATGCAGCTGGAAATGTTTGGCGCGAATTTTGGAGAGAGTCAGTGTCTCAGGTTAGTAGGAACTGAGTATACAATCCTCAATTAAGGCATGATATTTTAATATTCTTGCCTATAAAAAGGTTAGAGTTGCTTGCTATTCCACAATAACTTTGCTTAGTTGTTTTGTGGTACGTGCATGTCTCAAATACCTTATAGCATGCATCACGACAAATTTCCGGCGCCAGTAGTTTGAAGAGCATTGAAAGTTTAATATCTGTTTGGAATGTTCTAAGTCGAGCATAAAAATAGCCTTACCATCTAGGCATCACAGGATCATTTTGGAGAAATTATGATGTCTATTGGTTCAAACCCTATTGACAGTAAGCTCTCCTTCAAATAAAATAAACACATTTAATAAAGAAGGTAAATGAGTAGCGTGTTATGTTTCCCCTAGGATTGTCCTTAAAATTGAATCCATGACAACAGCTTGAGAACACATGCATTTGTCTCTCTTGTCTTGTGTTCTAGAGTTGATAACTTAAATTGCTAATTTGTGGTTTTCACTTTGACCTCTCTTTTCTTGTGTTTTAGAGTTCATACATCAAATTATATAGTTATAAAGAGGTTGACTTCTGCTTCCAGTCCTTTTTGTCTTTTTTCTTTTTTACTTTTTCTTCTCAAGGTTGGATGTGCTGCCAGGAATGGGGGTGGGGATATAAGTCATTTGCAGTTTTATACAGTGAAAATTATTTGGATTCATTTGACAATAAATTTATGTTAGCAACTATATTCCATTAGTCATTTGCTTATCTTCTGCTGCTTCACTGGACTTAAATCCATCACTAGTTGGATGGTTTCTAATTTGTATTTAAGATGATATGAGATTCATGGATATTTGGTGATTCTTACTATCCTTTTTTCGTGATTTTTAGCACTTAAGGTATTGCATTTGAATTGGGGAAATCATGCCATTCTTATTTTACATGCTGGGAATTTATTACAAGAAACTGAAATGTAAGTTTTTGTCTATTCAGGAATGTGGGCTTGTGCATCTTCAGAAGACTGCAGACAAGTGGGGGAAGAATGGCAAGGGTGAAGAATGGCAAGAGAAATGGTGGGAACATTATGATGCGGCAGGTCAATCGGAAAAATGGGCCCATAAATGGTGTAGCATTGACCCCAATACACAACTTGAAGCTGGTCATGCTCACGTTTGGCATGAAAGGTGAAAAGCTAATATCTGAATTAGATTTAGTTTGATATTCTCTTTATCCTTAAAAATTTGTTTAGTGAGATCTCTCAGTTAACCCTAAGTTTCTATAGAATAATCTTTTTTAGCATGAAGTAAACCATTTTGAAATCAGTTTATGAACCTCAAAATCCATTTACTGGTTCTGAATAGCTGTGGTCTTTCCTTCATTCAGTGAAATTGCAATGGTTCTGTAAATTCTTGAAATATCAATAGGTTTTGGCTTTTTTTTTTTTCTTTTAATGAACAGGTGTTCCTCTGAATGTATTTAAGAGTTAATTTCACGGCATTACGAATGTCTTCTACACAAATAAATGTTTAAAAATATTTGAACAAGGAACTGTTATTTTCCTTGGTAAGATTGATTATAATCCAGTATTTTGTTTTCATGTTTGTTTAGGTGGGGTGAGAAGTATGATGGACGCGGTGGAAGCACGAAGTATACGGACAAATGGGCAGAGCGGTGTGAGGGTGATGGGTGGACAAAGTGGGGTGACAAATGGGATGAATGTTTTGATCCTAATAGTAAGGGTGTGAAACAGGGGGAGACATGGTGGGAAGGAAAGCATGGGGAGCGATGGAACCGAACTTGGGGTGAGCAGCACAATGGGTCTGGTTGGGTTCACAAGTACGGGAAGAGTAGCAGTGGGGAACACTGGGACACGCATGTGCAGCAAGACACATGGTATGAGAGATTTCCACACTTTGGATTTTACCACTGCTTTGACAACTCAGTGCAGCTCCGAGCCGTTCGGAAACCATCAGAGATGTCATGAGCCATATATATATATATATATATATATATATATATATATATATATACACTCCTGCACCGCACTGATACAGTATCATAAATAATACACAGCTTACAGCTCCTTACAAGCATCAGATTCCTTAGCAACACGATGTAAGAAATTTTGTTTATTGGATTCAAGTTTATAATTGATGTTATCCATTTGGCAGGATTGATGGTTTAGTTGGGGAGTTTCTTACCACATTTAACTTGTTGTTTCCCCACAGGTTGATCAGAACAAAACTGTGTAGTTAGTTGAGATGAATAATTAAGGGAATTGTGTTATGTCTTTCGCATTACTATTATTTTTCTGTCTTGTGGAACAAGGAATTATGTAGGTATTTCTTCTATATCAATATAAGAAATTGTAAGTTTGAATTAGGTTAGGTTATTTATTCTATGTCTTTGTTAATTATAATTGGTGTATATATTTGTTAAAAGTCAGTAGAAGACCCATAAAAAAGTAATCTTAATTATTTATCCAGTTTCTTCATTCGGAGATCTTTTTTCCTTTCTTCCCTCATTTGTCATCTCTCATCTTTCATCTCCTTGTTTTTCGGCAGGGATGAATGATTTTGAATAAACATTGAATGAATTGTTATTTTCCTTATTAATATTGTATGACCAATTATTCGTTAATAATATTGTGGATACTTACACCTTTTTCTATAAGGATACGAACTTTAATTATGAGTTGTATGTCATATTTAACATTGTTAAGATATTATATTATTTGTGTACTCGTTAAAAAATTATGTTATAATTAATGTGCAAGTATCTTCTAATTAATTTTTACTCAAAAAATTTATTAATATAGATTAAATGAAGAAATAATTATGCATCTTGTACGTCTATTGATTTTTTCTTTTTGTTAAAAATTTTAAATCAATTGTTTTTGGAAAAAAAATTGAGAATAGAATACAAAAATGGTTGAATTTCGGTTTAGTCGTTGGTCTATATGGCTCATGATTTATGTACGCAATTTAACTAGGTGTTGATCGATGAATACCCTAATTTCTACGGTGAATTGAAAGTTATGACCTAATATAAAAAAATTCAAGATTTAAATAAATTATAAAACTCAATTAGTATGTCCTAATTTAGGTAGTTTTAGATAAGATATTTTATTTCTTTATCTTTTTTACTTGTTCATGATCAGTTTATATCATTATTAATTTTTTACTTAAAATAATTATGTGATAATGCAAATTCATACAATGTCTAAGAAAAATATAAGTATGAGATTTTTTGGGTTTTATCATAATTAAATTTATAACTAAATTAGATCATTATCCTTTACGTTAAAATAAAAATAAGTATAAAAAAAGTAAAATATGTAAAATAAATATATCGATCATCTATAGATAAATATTTATAATAAATTTTTTTAGGACATTTTGAATTACTACATGTTGATTTGTTGGATCATATGGAATAAGTATTTACATAAATCAACAAAAGACATTTGAATGAAAACTTAGGTAATCAAAAGCATTTGTAGATGTTTTAGAATATGAGAAAATGTTTAGATAGAATTTATAAATTGAAGAATGAAAATTTTAGACCATAAAAGAAAAAACAAATATATATATATATATATATCGTTCTCATAATGCCACATGAAATGAATAAAACATGGGAAGTATTTTTATAATTTCTTCAAAAGAACCCATTATGTATATAAGAAAATACATTTTTTAAAACAATTTGAAAAACAAAAAAAAAAATCTCTCACCATCAAACTAAAAGAAAATCGTGATAAATGTTATAACAAAATTGCAATCTTGAAAGCCTAGTTTAGAATGCGCCTTAAGAAATCAATGGTGGCATTATCTTTATCATCCATGTGTGTGTGTGTGTATATATATGCATATAGTGCTTAAGATAAGATGGCTCAAAAGCTTCAAAGTCAAACATCCATCTTCCTTGCAGCAACATCGCTACTTTTGAAGGGTTGCAAGTGCACAGAGTAGACCATTGACGTGTGTTGAATCATAAGCCATTAATAATAATACTAATACATAATTGAATTGTATTTTATTTTTTCTTTCTTGATTTTTTTTATGTTGCATGTAGATTAATATAATTTAATTACCTTATTAGTCAAAGTAACTTGGCATAAAACATTTAATTAATTAATTTATATATATATATATGTATGTATGTTTTTGGTTCTCTCCAAAATCAAGTCGGAAATTAATTTAATTAAATATGCACACGCGGGAACTGGAACTGAGGCAAAGATAAAACCGCGTAGACAGGCAGGCACATTTATCGTCTCTGTCGACATTGTCTTTCTTTCATTTATTATCACCTTCTTACTTTGAAAACTATTCTTTCAATATTCTCTTATATTATTAATATATATATATATACAAGTGTGTGCAGTATGTAATATGCTTTTTCACACCCACACCGTCCAAAGAATTTAGCACTTGTACCCGCCATCCTTAAATATATGATGCATGTTTAATTTATTGAGGCAAATAATAGTTTTAGCCATGTAACATGATAAGATTAAACCATGTAGGATAAAATTTTATTTCTTTTATATATATATATATATATATATACATATATTCTAATACAAGGGCAAATTATTTTTAAATGGAAATCCTTTTACTTTCTAACATCTTCTTTGTTTCACACTTGAGTATTCTCTCCATAGAATATTACTACTGATGTGAAGCTAAATATTATTAATTTCATATAATTTTGCTTTCTAAAATATGTATCACTTAAAAGCGATTTGTTCATGAACATATTTATCATTAACATTCAAAGAATTTTACAAAACAAATTTGTAAAGCTTTATGTTACTAGAGTTTTATTATTTTTTTCAAAAAAAATAATATTTAAATAATAATACTATTAAATTATTATTATTTAAGTACTTAAAATGACGTATACATTAAATTGTTGACAAGGATGGCTTTCAATCGAGGAACATAAATTTAGCAAAGAATTGTGTCGATATCGAGCAAGTAGAAATGGACGATAACATGACCAGATAATTATATCATTTTAAGAAGTTTTAAAAGAAGAAATTGCACTGGTTAAAGGATTTGATTTGGAAGGAGGACATAAAGGTTATGAGCCTAAGAATCAGTGTTTAGGAGGCATAACTTGACTTTGACTTCTGTTGTTGACAGATAAAGTAATTAGAGAAGTGGACTTAAGTTTGAGGTGATTGTTTACGGGGGAAAGGTGACCT